ACGAACAAAGGTTTATACAAATTCAAATGTTTGAAAAAATTGTACGAAAATTTTGTGAGACGTACTACAATCGATCTTTATTTCGAAAATTGTTCTAAAATGTTCTCGCAACGATGAAAATTCAAATATTTTAACGAAAGTGTTCGAACAAATTGTGAGATCGAAGCGTTTAACGAAATTCTACGGAAAAGGTACAATTCTACGGAACAAATTGTGAGACCAAAACGTTTGAGACGCGTTCTACAACTGAACTTTTTTTTAAATTGTTCGTAACAGTTCTCGAGAAGATGCAAATTCAAATGTTTTAACAAAATTGTACTGTCGGTGCATTCTAGACATATTTGCGTACGAAAAACACGGTTTTTGTAAAGGCTAATTGCGAATATTCTGTGGAATCTGGAGAAAAAAGTTTGAACGTCATTAATCAAAGTTTCACTTGTTTCTTTTTGAAAAAAAGTGTTTTACACAAACTAAAAACTTCATTTGATGTGAGTACATTCCAACAGAATTTGCATTCAAAAAATTTCAAGAGACACTTTATCTAATCGAGGAATTTCGGCTCAATTTCATGCGCGAAGAAGATTGTAAAATTTCTGAGGGTTCAAGTCACATGCGCTTACAGAAAGGTGTGAGAGACTGTATCGGAACGAGAGTAAACTGTCTTTATAAAGTAGAACTAAAATAAGATAATTAATACGGTGCTTGACAAAATTACGAACAAACTGGTTGATTACCTTGCGATGTTTGTAAAATAAATGAATGAAATTACGTGAGTTTGGAAGAATTACTGATTTCTTTCACTACAATGAATTTACTAGGGAAAATGACAGAGAAATATTTCAATACAATTAAAATGAACAGAAAAATATTCCTCTTTTATTACAAAGTTCGTTCGAATATTAAAAGTAATGTGATAGAATACATTATATTTTAAGTTCAGAAGTAGCAATTCTAATGATTGGCTTTACAATTTTACGTTTTATCGACTTTACAGCTTTTCGAGACGTGAACTTAGTTTGTTAATCTAAAGTAAGTAACACTTCACCTGAAAGTCAGTATTCCATGCAATGAATTCACGTATTTGAATATCGTTAAAAAAAATAATTGGTCAGTAGCAAATATGGTAGTTAAAATCTACCCACCCCGTAAAACATTTTGCTTATCACTTTATGAAATAGCAAGTTGACAATCGTTTAACTATTTGTAATAAAAATTCCAATAAAGTTAAAATTACTTTTCACACTAAATATTCATACGAATACATTTGAGTAGCGTTTTTAAGACTGGAAAAATGTATATTTAATTTGGCCTTCTTTATGTTTTTGAACTAGAAAATTTATTTTTGGTGAATTCTTCTTGTCGAGCCTTATGCCGAGTTTAGTTGCATGAGCAAAGCATGTCATAGGTCCACTGTACTTTCTTTCAAACTCTTCACGTCGCAACCTCAGGCTCCGAAAGGTGAGCTACCACGACAAAATCCTTCCTTTATACTATTGTCCTTCTCAGATGTTTAATCGCCGGAAATCGCTGTAGTCACTTCTTTGGCCCTTGGTGTCATTGTTTGTTTCAACTTGTACCTTGCAAATAGAACTTACGGAAAATATGTTTCGCAAATTTATTTTGTTACCTACGGATCATCTATTATCAAAGTCCTTCACTTAAACAATTCTTTCATACGCTCGCACCCCTGTATGTGTTTTATAGCACGTACAAAACGAAATTTTTGGTTTGCTTGATTACTTCTGATTCCGAACACGTCAATCGCTAAGGTCATTAGTCCCGTAAGTGTATTGCGTGTTTTTCGCGGGAGGAGGCGGTGGTTTTGCCCCGCTGAATGGCGAGATGCAGCTCCGACCTACTGTCGCCTAGCAGGGTTTTCTCTCTACCAGATATCTCCCACCAGCAGGGCACCGCCAAGGCACTAAGCTCCCGACCGAACATCCGGCATGTGGGGTAGTAAAGTGCACGTGAATGTAAGTGTGTAGGGGAAGCACAAGGAAGGGGAAGGAAAGAACGCGCGTTGTCCAAGGCCCGTTTGTTAGCGCACTGCTTCGGCATTCGCCTGGTGGTGATCGGGAACTACCGTTCAAAGCACCCGGCCTCTAGAACTCCAGACCGCCACAGAACTCAACCTAGCTGAGAAGCTACTGTTGAAAATCCTGCTAGCTCCGGGACTCGATTTCCAGAACATCCTGATCAAAGGCACGGCAGTGAAATCAGTTGATGCCCCGGGCCACCTCTCTCAGTTATTATATACTGCAGGGACGATTCATCATAAAGGGACAGCGAGAATAAAGATTATTATTTAAATTAATTTAAAACTCGAGTCTGGAGTAAAATGTCTTAAGGAAGTAATATAAAAAATAACAGAACATCTAAATGTATGAGCAATGCCAAGTTAACATTGCCGTGTCTTTCACCAGTTTATACCGAAAATGGTGAAGGGTTCACATCCAGCTCCGGATGGGTAACGGTGGGTGAGGAGTTTTGTGCCATTTTCAGGCTAAAGGACGTTCGCACACTCATTTGGTGTTGAGGCAGTGCGAGGAATTCGCCCTTGCAAGGCCACTGCACCGGAGAAAGTAGAGTTAATTGGGTTGCCTACTTACAGGGGCAACGAGCGCCTTATAGAGCGAACTGGTTCGAGACACACTCAACGCGACAGTGCGCGCATTAGGAAGAGTAACAGCTGTGATCTACACTTGTGCTGTGATCTACACTTAATATGGAATTCCGTGTCACCAAAAATGAATCGTCTGAAGTTAGAATTTTCCATTTGCACTGTCCTAACGGTTCTATTGGGTTCTATAAACTCATTACTCTAAAGACAGTTAAGTAATTTCTTGGAGTCAGTTTTGTGCGTGTGTAGAATATTTGTGAACACAAACTTAAGCGAAGAAGAAGTGATATTAGTGATAGTAGTGTTCTGAGTGAAAATAAAATAAGTTGTCATAATGTTTCGTTGGTTTAAGGTAAAGTAATTAGTTACTATAATGTCCTGAGTTCTGTTGTCTTTTGTTGTTACTTTTTGTGCTGATATACCGCGCTAACAAAACAATTATGAATCAATAGAGCAAACTATTTACGACAGATGAATTAAGAAGTGAAGTCAATTTTGAATATAATAATTCTTGGTAATAATTAAATTGTATTTCTTAAGGTAGAAAATTTCTTGGCACAACGAGGGTTAATATCGAATCTCTTTTAATGTTTTGTATAAGAATAAAATCAGATTACTTAAACCTGCGACCCTTTTCGAAACGTATGTAATCGCAAGATTCACTGCATACAACACTTGCTAGCTTACTACTAGCTAAAGGTATGTTCATAAGTCAATAAATGTGTTTAGATAGTCGTTTGGGATTACATCTTCTTTTGTTAATAAATAATGAATGGCAGCATCTTTCTTTATTTTCGGTTTAAACGAAGTGTTTTTGTGTACGCAGGTTATTTGGAAGACAAATTGCACTATTTATATACGAAATTATAATAGAATTTTGATTTTTCAAACCAAATTATTATGGACGTTTCCCATCTGTTTGAAATTCAATGTGTTACTTCGCTTTAATCCTTTTCCAACACATTAGTCACAACACTTGTGGCGTGGTGTATACCATATATAGAAGATCTGTGGTTCACATTTACATTAAAGGTGAAAGTCTCTTAGATGTCACCGGAATACCCAGAGATGAGTTACATCAGAAAACTAAATAACACTAACCTACATCAAGAAAACGCAAAATAATCTTACGAATGCTGTACACAGCACACCACTACGATTACCTTAGATTTGTGTTGTAAGATTAGAAACATTCTTGTTTAGTTAACTAACTTTGGAAAGAGGGGGCACATGGATGTTAGAAAATTACTCATCGTTACACTTGAAACTCCAATCGAGCACATAGTTTTTAAATTGCGTATTTTATAAATCCTGCAATAATGACACCCCTACGAGTCTAGTGCGTATTTGTATGGCTGTATGGCAGACAAAAGCGATATTTTACATTCCCTAGCTTGCCTTTTTATCACAGATTTACAATCAAAAACTGCATTCTTAGACCCTTTCTTCCCGCCGTTTGGATTTTACCTTCACGTTTGTTTCCTTATACGTCTTGTAGATTAATCACAATTGCAATGGTTGAAGAAAGAAACAATATTTAAAGTCTCTATGGGACTATTTACTCGATTTTACTTGGAAAATTTTCTTCAGTGCCTCTGAACGCGAAATGCCAAATACCTACGTATAAGAAGTCTAACAATCAAGGAAGAATTCAATTCAAATTCATTTCAATTCAATTATGCCTTATTTTACTTACTCAGGCCATGAGATTTGCTCATCCGTCTGACCCAGTTAATTTCTCTACACTCCTTTCACTGCCTTGCTGAGAAAAAAGATATTATCTCGAACAACAAAACAGACCCTTTGAATTTAGCACAGTGACTTCTTTTACTCTTGAGGCAGTAAATCTACGACATAGGACTGCTAGATTTACTTTACATTCGAAAGAAGGCGCCCGAAGAATTTTTTCGCTCTTAGAAATGAACGGTTTCGATTGGGTTTGAATCTCCAAACTTAGTTGTAACAACCTGAAATGGAAATCGTTTTAACACCGAAGCCACACAAATCACATATAAAATTTCTTTAAGTGAAATATCCCGCCCCATACTGTTTGGAGAAACGTTGTCATGTTCGACCCCCTTGCCGCACTCTAAGTGAGCATGAGTGTGTGAGACTGGCGCCTGCCACATGTTCATTGCAAAAGGTGATCATCTTTGACCCCCTTGCATTCCTCATAAGAGACCGCGTGTGTATGTGAGTGTCAGGTCCATTGGCAAAACGTGGTCATCTTCAACCCCGTTGCATCCCTCTTAAGAGACCGTGTGTGTGTGTCAGGTACCTGCCGCATGATCATTGGCAAAACGTGGTCATCTTCGACCCCCTTGCAGCCCTCTAAGCGAGTGTGTGTGTCTGTGTGTGCCAGGTGCTGGCGCTGGCGCTGATGCTCCTGGCCGCGGGCGCACGCGCGGGCGAAGCCGAGGGCGAGAAGAAGCAGACGAAGCGCGGCCTGTCGGGGGCGCTGGGCCTGGGCCTGGGCGGCTACGGCCTGGAGTACGGCTCCCTGGGCGGCTACGGCCTCGGCAGCGCCCTCGGCCTCTCCGACCTAGCGCTCGACGCGCTGCCCCTCAGCGCAGCCGGCCCCGAGATCCCGCTCGGCACGCACACCCACACCACCATCACCAAGCAGGTGAGCGCACCCCATCACCGAGCACGAGAACTCTCCCACATACACATCGGCACCAAACACGTAAAAACACCCACACCACCGTCACCAAACAGGTGAGCACACCATCACGAATTTACTCCCACATACACATCGTCACCACCAACAGGTAAGCGCGCACACACACACATTCACCATTTTCGAGCAGGAGAACACACCACAATCACCAAGAAGCTGAGCACACTCACACCCCCGTCACTTTAGAGGTGAGCATAACATCACCACGCAGGTGAGCAGACCCACACATTCACCATCACCAAGTAGGTGAGCACACCTCATTACAAGGCACGGGAACACTTCCACATACACATCATGTCCAAACAGGTGAGCACACGCACATATCCACTAACACCAACCAGATGAATGCTCCCATTCATCCATCACCAAGCTCGTGAACCCACACACACCACCATGAACCAAGGAGGTGAGCGCACCTTCACCACACGAGTAAACGCACGCACATCGCCATCACCCAGCATACGAGCACACGCACGCCAACATCACCAAGCAGGTGAGCACACCCATACATCCAACATTACCATCTCTCCCACCCACACACATCACCAAGCAGGTGAGCACACCCATACATCCACCATCTCACCCACTGTCACACATCACCAATCAGGTGAGCACACCAAAGCTCACGGCCGTGTCTGTCTTTGGCAGGTGGCCGTGCCCGTCCCCGCGCCCTACCCGGTGACAGTGGAGCGCCACGTGCCCGTGGCCGTGCCGGCCCCCTACGCCGTGCCCGTGCCCAAGCCCTACCCGGTGGCCGTGCCCAAGCCCGTGGCCGTGCCGGTGGACCGGCCCTACGCCGTGCCCGTCGCCAAGCCCTACCCGGTGGCCGTGCCGCACCCCGTGGCCGTGCCCGTCGAGAAGCCCGTCGCCGTGCCCGTGCTGGGCAAGTACGCGTCGCTGGACTTCGCCCACTTCCACTGAGCACGCCCTCGCCACCCTGCCACCCTTGAGGTGCGGCGCTTCTTCCACGCCACGAGACCGTGACGTGGGGAATTTATTTATTTATTTTATTTATTTATTTATTTATTCATCGCATGGGTTTATTCACGGGAAGACTGCTCATAGACAATTGAATTTCAACGCAGAATTCCTTGGAAGCCTATCCCTGATGCCGTTCAGGGGCCCTTCATCGAGCAGGCACACCTCGCGGGCGAACCCAATAGCGCCTGGAACTTGACTCTCACTTTCTCCAGCGTATGTCGGTCTCAGTTAACTATATCCGAACTGTCTGGTTGGCAGAAAGTGAGATCTCATTTGAGGGGAAGGGATTTAATTTTGCCAGACATCCGCCAGGGTTCTTTTACATGCCTCAGGAGTAATATGGCTACAGTGGATTTTCTGCCCTTCGAAAGTCCACGCACCTCGTTCGGGATCGAACTCACGCAGTGGGGATTCAGAAACCAGTAAGCTAACTCCTCCCCCACCGAGACAGGCAATTAGGAAGTAATCAACCGCAACAATCTTGGTTATGATATTTATTATAACATACCCAAAGGTAACTTTCAGGAGTCACTGTTTCCACCTTCAGTGAGCCAAGTGACCAACTACTCAAGAGAGAGAGGTTAATGCTCAATGGTTCATGAAACTTTTTAATTCATATGAAAATAAGCAATTACTTATGAAAAGTAGTAGTTCCTACTAGCACGCGTGAGCAATTGCTCTGGAGTACTTACTTATTTTTATTCACATCACCCAATGGCTGGCACCCCTTTTACATCCGTAGAAAATTAATATTTCGTGTTTATTGTATAACATAAGTTAATAGGTAGCAGGTGATAACACGTTTAAAGATCATCATCAAGTAGTATCAATAAGTATTGTTCTTCAGCTTCTGGGTTACTGACTCCCCTCTCGATGAGGTATTTCGTCCAGTTTTCCTGATTCTTGAGCAAATGCTGATGCTTGTTGTGCTTGTGGCCATAAATGTAACTTCATTATCTGCGCACGTCTTCTAGAATTCAGTGGGAAGCATAGTTATTAAAATTATCATTCTACAGTAAATATTATTCCTTCACGAACGACATGATGGAGGGATAAGAGCCAAAATCTATAATTGATTTACCCTTGAAAATATATTTTGTTACAGCGGAATGAATATTTTATAAACAATCGTTACAGCAAACTCTGCAATAGTATATGGCTTAGGGTAGGGATCACAGAATTATGAAAACGTTTACAGAATTCTCCTCTCCCCGTAGCACGTCACACAGAGTTTTTAACTGTTTTGACATGAAATAAAACAAAAATAAATAAATCTTTTGGAAAGAGAGAGAAAGAGAGAGGGAGAGAGGAGGAGGAGGAGGAAGAGTAAGAGGAGAGAGAGAGAGAGAGAGATGTGGCAAAAGAAACACTAATTTCGTGCTTTGTCTGCAGGTTCGCCACTGCCTTTAGCGCTGCCTCAGCGCACACATCACCTCAGAAGTCCGCACAGCGCTCTTCAATTGTTCTCCTCCATTGTACAAATATAAATACACTCCATTTTTATACATAATCAAAAAATATCTTGCTTTTGTACATTATTACCCACTTCTTTACGGTTCCTGTCCATCAAATCCAGGACCCTATTATTTCTCCTCCCTGTTCTTTCATCATTTCTCTGTCTCCGAACTCAATTCGACACAAACTACAATTGTATTTCAAACCAGGTGCTAAAATAAAAAAATCAACGTGTATAAGTAATATATAATTGATAGGTCAGATGACTCATAAAAACTGAATTCTAACTCCAGCCAGACCAAGAAATGAAAGGTCCTGCGATTTACCATCCAGATTTCAACACTTTAATGTTGATTTTATTAAAATTGTTGATTTTGATAAATAGATTGATTAATTATTGAATTGTAGATTGATGAACCCTATAATACAAAGGCAATCTGTACCGGGCGTCATTACACAGGCGTTGCTTGACAGACTACTTTGGGTAAAAATAAAGAAAAAATAAAATCAATGGATTGAACATGTATGATATGGGTTACAAAATTATTTTTAAACATGTTTATAGATACACCTAAATAACTTGATTCTCACAGCACACACTGTTTGGTGCTGTTCTCACATTGCTTTTGAGAAGCGTCCGCAGTATAAAAGCACTTCGTCATGCGACCGTTGTTATGTCGTCCAATTACGATCGCTACATCTTCAGAACAAAATTTAAATGCTACAAGTCAGGGCATTCAGTATTCATTTTCGCATTCATTATTCACAATATTCGACAATATAGTGCCAAATAACTGACGTAATAACAAAGGCGTAGTCTATTGAACGAAGCCTGTTGGCGTATTCCGAAAACGGCGTACAGCAGTAATATGCACGCCCTCAAGGTAACGTGTATTTCACTGGCAAGTCACACTACGAAGGTACACAGAATTTCAGAAAGGGGGAGTGTGGGCAAGGGGGTGGAGGAAGCTTTCAGCACTAGTTGCATCCTCTGACAGAATACCGCTTTGTAATCTAGGGTTAATACATTGAATTAACAGATTGGTGTAGCTATAAAACGCACGGGTAGCGTCGCGAACTAGAGAAGTAGCTCACTACTATTCGCAGTCACTGATTCTAGAGCAACTGACGCGATATTCCAAACCAACGATTGTACAAATGTCTCCGGAGTGGCAGTACGTCACTTGGACAACTGGTACACGACAGTCTTTGTGGAGAAGTTTATCATTATTGCAACAAATTAAAATTAAAAAGATGTAATGCGACGCAAGGGTAGCATTCGATAAGAATATGTCATGTTCACCGGCTTTTCAAAATATCATACCAGTTATCCTTCCAATTCATAAGAAAACGTAAAAATGCGAGGGTACATTTAATATCTGGGACACGGGGAAAACGAAATTGCAGGAGCTTAAATTATACTAGTCTCAAGAAGAGCTTATAAATGTAAACTAGAGGCTTGACGTCAAAATTAAAAATGTGAAGGCATAAATGTGTTTTCAGAGCTGGGTATTTTCTTTGGGTATCATTATTTAGTAATTCACAATGAAATAAAGATATTACTTATTTATATTTACCAATTAACAATTGCACATATTTAGTGATTTTTAACTTTATATCTTTCTCTCTCATTATATTTAGCAACCCCTTTCTGTTTGTTTTTCCTACTAACGTATTTTACACGTCATTATGAACACCTCGCGTCTTATTCAGTACTTTATACCACCATATTACACTTTTTAAAATATTATTGTGTTTATTTTTTAACATTAAATGCATATCATTTTTAAATTATAATTTATTTATGAGAAATTATTTCAAATTTACCAGTATATTTTATTCAGTTTTATTGATTGATTTTTTATATATAAAACTAGAAATTAGCGTGCGACAGGCGAACATTTTTCTCTTTATTAACGCAATGTCTGGAAACTATCGGAAGAAATATATCTACATTAGTATGTATTTGAGAGAGATTGTTTCGCACATTGCTATAGTTTTTATTTATATTTTCTATAAGGTATTGTCTGTAACCAATGCGCAACATGTCGGGCATTGTCCTTCCAGCTGAGGGTTTTGAACTGCTGTCCCCGTTCACTCCTAGGGTCGACAGGTGAACTTTTGACCGCCGTTGCGCAGAGGGGTAAGCGAGCGAGTGCGCTCGTGCTCGCCAGGAGGCGTCCCGGTCGGGGCTCCTCTACGCCACGTTTTGCTTCCTTCTGCCTGCGTGGCCCGCTCCTGCCGACTTCTTCTTTCTCTTGTCTCGACGCAGTATCCTCATGACAAGGCCCAGGTAGCCCCCTTCAGGAGCGGCCAACCAAGTGACGACCGCCGCCCGGAAAAAGTCCGTAACGTAACCCGCCGCCCGATAAGCCAAGTCCTTATCCACATGCGAATAAGAATTCCTGGCTCCGATAACCACAATTAAATTGCCATGTGTGGTGTACCACATAATAATCTCACTTAGAAGTTCAATACCTCCGGAAATGAGTACCATTTTTATATCTAGTATATAATTTCTGTAACAAAAGAACTGGATAATAATTTTTCTTCTAATATTCTTAGTACGAAGTGTGGCCTTTTATTTCGGGATTTGGCAACCTGGTGTTTGCAATCTGGCAACTGACAGCTCTATTGTAAAGTTTGAGTTTTGAAGTTATACGTACCAGAACGTCTTTGAATACAGCTCTATTTGTGTTGTTTAACTATAACTTAAATGGATTCATCTTGGCCCAAAATGGAATTAAATCGTAAACATTTTCTGCGATTATTTTTTACAACTTTCGTACGTGGATTAACTCCATCAAGAACCAGTGTTTATCGATGATATGGTGAATTCAATCGTGGTCGTAGTTCACTCCAAGACGAATTTTGGGAAGGTCGTCCAAAATCAGTTGTTGTTCCGAAAACCATCGATACTGTGCATGAACTGATATTGCAAGATCATCATGTGACCTACCGTGAGATTGAGACAACCTTAGGCATTAGAGGGACCAGCATACATTCAATACAGCATGAACAATTCACTGTCAAAAAAATTTGTTCGCATTGAATCCCACACAATTTGTCAATCGCTCAAAAAAATGCTCGTGTCGATTGGTCGAAAGAAATGCTCAAAAAAACGATCGCGGTGCTTCGAAACACATCTATGACATCGTGACAAGTGATGAATCGTGAATTTACGCGTATGAGCCCGAAAGTAAACAGCAGTCGACTGTATGGGTGTTTCAAGATTAGCAAAATCCAACAAAAGTTGTAGGCGCACGAAGCACTTCCAAACAGATGGTCGCCTGTTTTTTCAAATACCTGGACATGTCGCAACCGTACTACTAGAACAACGCAGAACAGTCAATTCTGAGTGGTACGCAACTATTTGTTTGCCAGCTGTCTTCCAAGAAATTAGGAAAACCAACCGCCAAAGACGGATGACTCTTCACCACGACAATGCGAGCTCTCACACTTCGGCTCAAACAACTGCATTTTTG